GCAACAGTGAGTAAAAAACGGAGTAAATGCGGTCTAGCATGACTAGCCTTAATTCGGCAAGGTACTGTAGTGATTTCTATATCGCTTTGCAGGTTGTTCTGCTTCAAATTACGGTAAACAATAAACAACGTGATCTGTCGAAATCGTAATAATTTGTACATGATTTTCATCAGTATTATTTAAAAGAAGAAAATTCCTACTACCAGAAGAATAATATCAGATCAAAATTCTCCGAATTGGAAAGTTTACCAGTATAACTACTGTCCGCTCTCCTCCTCTATAGGGGAAAATGTAGGCCGTACGTAAGCCTAAATGACATCGAAATTCGAACATACTGAATGCCCACTAGGTTACCCACCCAGCTAGCGAACTAAACACAGTTTTAAAACATGATAGATTTAATAATAAGGTAGGATATAACAAAACAATAAAGTTCTAACATTGTTTATTTAGTAAATTGCAACATTGCTTACGCGTTGAAAGCTGGTAAACTATATTTCAATATTGTTTACGCATTGATTATCAGCCCGACGATCCAGCCTATGATCATTGCAAAGCTATTTAAAATGAGTAATAATGCTTACTTGTGATTCCTTCAGGAAGGTCCATTTGGATTAATAGCTCTTCAGCAATATCTGTTGCATTTAATCCTTGTAATCTCTTTTCCCAGAACAACTAAATAAATATAGATTATGTAAATGTTAATATAATGATTATATTTAATGACTTAATCTAATCTTTAATCTAAACTAGCTGAAGCAAAAGGAGAATAGCAATGGAATTGAACAAGGTACCCAATGGTTTCCATGATTCAGCACACACACAGTCACTACTGCAGTTTATGAGACAACAGCATCTTACTGCACTGTAGCTCAGACGGCTAAACTAGAGTTAGCCATAATGGGTGCACTGAACCATAGAGATCATAACTTTTTCTCCCAGTTCAATTCCAACTGCTGCTGTTATGTTTCAGCTGAGGTCTGAAACTAAAAGAAATGCAAGTTCCAATAGCGCACATCTTCTGGATGAGACATGTGTAATAAGGTATGTTAAAGATAATCTCCCAGTGTACTGCCCAATTCACCACCTGAAGGACCCCCAACTGTGTAAGCCTTAAGACTTTCACACTGATTATCTTTGGTATATTTAACACCAAAAAATCCGTCCAGAGTCATACATGGATGTAAAACTAAGCCGAGACAAACATTTCATGCACTGCCTTCTACTTACTTGTTTTGGGGATTCTTTGGTATCTGGTTTGACATCGGTTTTTATCTTATTTGACTGATGCCTCCTCACTGTCGTGACCGGCTGTTTAAAAATGGAAGCCGTCTGTCGTATTGGAAGCACCAGTGTGGAATCATGCCGTGTACCTTTGTTGTAGTCATAATG